CAATCAGTTAAATTACAATTAAAAAAAAAATTTTAAAATTACAATTAAAAAAAAAAATTTTAAAATTACAATTAAAAAAAAAAATTTTTAAAATTACAATTAAAAAAAATTTTAAAATTACAATTACAATTACAATTACAATTAAAATGTTGTGTTTGGGTGGTTCTTATAGTTGAATTCTACAACGGCGGTTTTTCAAGTCGCTGGTTTAAGTTAAAGTCTTAATGAGAATGCTGCTTTAAGAAGAAGTTACATCTTCAGTCGCTGGTTTAAGTTAAAGTCTTAATGAGAATGCTGCTTTAAGAAGAAGTTACATCTTCAGTCGCTGGTTTAAGTTAAAGTCTTAATGAGAATGCTGCTTTAAGAAGAAGTTACATCTTCAGTCGCTGGTTTAAGTTAAAGTCTTAATGAGAATGCTGCTTTAAGAAGAAGTTACATCTTCAGTCGCTGGTTTAAGTTAAAGTCTTAATGAGAATGCTGCTTTAAGAAGAAGTTACATCTTCAGTCGCTGGTTTAAGTTAAAGTCTTAATGAGAATGCTGCTTTAAGAAGAAGTTACATCTTCAGTCGCTGGTTTACAAGACCAGTGCTTTATATTTAAGCTATCAAAGCTGTATAAGTTTAGGTAAAATGACCAAAAGTTCGCCGGTTCCTGAGGGGGTTGACGGCAGCAATGAACTTGGGGGGTCAAAGGGGGTAAGGGGGTTGTCGTGAAACCGCGGGACGAGAGATTATTGAAGCTGGGAAAGATATATCATATATGCCCTATGCCTGGATGGATGTGAGACTTCAGTGAAACATACTTGTGTACCCTTCGGGAAATCGAGCTTAGCAGTTGTATGCCAAGAGTGATAAAAAGAGTACCTTAGTCTGGGATAAGCCTGTGCAATGAGTTGTAATGGTATTTTGAGGAGTATGTACTTATGCCATTATCTATACCTATGCCATAGAGGCATATACCTATGCCATTATCTATACCTATGCCATAGAGGCATATACCTATGCCATTATCTATACCTATGCCATAGAGGCATAGGGGAGGAGTAGGTTAAAAGTGCTCTAATTTAAAAGTAGTAATTTTTTTAGAGCATATGTTAAGTTTAGTATTATGTTTTTTTGTAATGTTTTTATTGGGGGTCGCTGTGGTTGTGTTAAGTCCTTCTCCCTATTTTTCTGCTTTAGGCTTGGTATTTGTTGCTGTATCCGGGTGTTTTATTGTTTTATACCATGGGGGTACTTTTTTATCTTTGGTCTTGGTGTTATTATATCTTGGGGGAATGATGGTAGTTTTTGTGTATTCAGCAGCTTTAGCTGCTGATCCTTACCCTGAAATTCTTGGGGGACGATTGTTTTGATTTTTTATAATTTGCGTGTTGAGTATTTGTTTTGTTGGTTATTTTTATTTCAATAATTTTTTGTTAAATACGTCAGTGGCCTGTGAGGTGGCAGATTATGCTGGGGGGGTTTTTGGGTCTGAGTGGTTAGGAGCAACGACTTTTTACGAGGTTGGATCCATTCTTATATTAGCTGGGGTGAGCTCTGTTAGTATGTTTATTTTCTGTTTTAGTAGTTGTTCGTGGGGTAGATCGTGGAGCTCTGCAGGCTGTGAGGCTAAGTGTAATTAAAGCTAGGGCAAAGGCTATTAATGGGAGGGTGGCGGAATTTAATCGATGCGCTTCTGTTAATATTGTTGAGGGCTTCAGTTGATTATTGGTTAGGCCTTTTGGCCCAATTTTTTCTAATCAGGCTAGATCTGTGACTTGTGTTATTAGTTTTTGGCTTCATGATAGGGATAGGCGGGATAGAAAACGATGTATGATATGGGGATAAAACGCTAGTTGAGTAAAAAAGGAGAATACGGTTTGGTTAACTTTTTTGTTAGTTAGCTCAATTGAGATGGCTAAGCTAACAGTAAATATAATTAGGGCAATAGTTTTAATGTAAGCTGGTATTGTAAAAATTTGAGGTTTTATAGGTGGAATAGTGCTTGTAAGAATTAATCCTGAGATGATACTGCCTCAGGCTAATCGTTTAAAGGGATTTTTAATAAAGCTATTTTCGTGGGTTGGGGTTAAGGCTAGGTATCGTGGCGCTCCAGAAGCTGATATAAGAATTAGACGTGAGCTATAGGCAGTTGTTAATGTTACAGCTAGGAGGGTAGTTATTAGGGCTCAGGCGTTAGTGTAGGAGGTGTTTAGGGCTTCTAGAATAAGATCTTTTGTGAAGATGCCAGCTAAGAATGGTAGTCCTATGAGAGCTGCTGATCCAATCGTTATACAGGATGTTGTTAGAGGAAGATTATTGTTTAAACAGCTAAATTTTCGAATATCTTGTTCATTATTTATATTATGAATAATACTTCCTGAGCACAAGAATAGTATGGCTTTAAAAAAGGCGTGCGTGCATATATGGAGGAAAGCAATATGAGGGTGATTGAGCCCAATTGCTACTATTATTAGACCTAGTTGGCTTGATGTGGAGAAGGCAATAATTTTTTTGATATCATTTTGTGTTGTTGCGCAAAGAGCAGCGAAAATGGTGGTTATTGCTCCAAGACATAGAGTTATTTCTAGTATGAGGGGGTAATTTTGGAATAGTGGGTGAAGTCGGATAAGAAGGAATACCCCTGCGACGACTATAGTACTTGAATGAAGTAGGGCTGAGACAGGGGTAGGGCCTTCTATTGCAGCTGGGAGTCAAGGGTGAAGCCCGAATTGAGCCGATTTTCCTGTAGCTGCAATTAAGAATCCTAGAGTTGGGATAATATATTGTTGGTCAGATAAAAGTAGTGTAATTTGTTGCAGTTCTCAGGAATTAGTATTAGAGCATATTCATACTATGCTTATTATAAGTCCAATATCGCCAATGCGGTTGTAGGCTACTGCTTGGAGTGCAGAAATATTGGCTTTTGTTCGTCCTGACCATCAACTAATTAGAAGGAAGGATATAATTCCTACTCCTTCTCAGCCAATAAATAGTTGTAGTAGGTTATTTGCAGAGATAAAGGTAATTATTGTAATTAAGAATAGAAGAAGGTATTTAAAAAATTTGTCAATAAGTCGTTCTTTTTCTATATATCATTGTGAGAATTCTATAATGCTTCAGGTGATTATTAAGGCAATTGGGGTAAAGATGACAGTATATTTGTCGATTTTAAAAGATAGAGCAATGTTAAATAGAGTCCAGTCTATTCAGGGTTTTAGTGTAAGGGTAGTTTCCATGTTTTCGTTTAAGTAAATGGTTAGTGGGATTAGGCTGATAAATATGGAGGTTTTAACTAGTTTTGTTGTTAAAATTATGGACGGTTTAGGTATGATAACAGGGGGTAGAAGAATAATAATGGTAAGTAGTGCTCCAGAGTTTATAATTAAAGTTAAATAGTTGGAATTCATTAGCTTCTACTTGGACTTGCACCAAGATAGGTGGCACCTAAGGCCAGCGGATCGTCTGCTTATCCTTTAGAAGCCCGAGAGGACTGCGGAGTTGACCCTCAGTGGAAAGAATTAGCAGTTCTTACTGCTGCCTTGCTCCTCTCGGCAGGCAGAGGGATTTTAACCTTCATTATTAGACTCACAATCTAATGTTTTATTTAAACTATGCGTGCTTCTAATTATAATGGCACTGGGATTTGCGATAAGGAGAATGACAGGGGTTATATGTATAAGTATTAGTAGGTGCTCTCGGGTGGTGCTAGGGTTAACTGGTGCATGTTTATTTGGGTGTTCGTGTTGGGTTATAATAAGCATGTTTAATGAAAAGAGAGCGGTTAAAGTTATGCTTAGGCCTAGTAAAATAATGGTTCAATTTGATCAATTAAATAGGGAAGTAATGATTAGAAATTCTGCTATAAAGTTTGGGAATGGAGGTAGGGCTATATTAGCAAAGGTTATTATAAGTCATCAGAATGATATTAGAGGAAATAAGGCTTGTAGGCCCCGGTTTATGAAGATTGAGCGTGTGTGTGTACGCTCATAAGTAATATTGGCAAGACAGAATAGACCTGATGACACTAATCCATGTGCAATTATTATTGCAAGGGCTCCAGATCATGCTCATGGTGTTATTGTGAAAATGCCAGCTACGACTAGGCCTATATGGCTAACTGATGAGTAAGCGATTATAGATTTTAGGTCTGTTTGTCGTAAACAAATTGAGCTAGTTACAATTATTCCTCATATAGCAATAATTATAAAAGGAGTAGCTAAGTCTTTAGTTAGTGGGATGAATAGTGATGATATACGAATTATGCCATAGCCTCCTAATTTTAATAGAATTGCGGCTAAAACTATGGAACCTGCAATTGGGGCCTCTACGTGAGCTTTTGGTAGTCATAAGTGAAAGATATAAAGAGGTATTTTAATTAAGAAGGCTAAAAAGCTGGCAATTCATCATAAAGCCTCAGACCATGGTGTGTTTGATAGTAGTGAGAGGTCAGATAGGGGGATAACATAGATTGATAGGGAGTTTAGGTGAGTTTGAATTATGATGAGAGCAAGAAGTAGCGGAAGAGAGGCAGATAGGGTATAAAAGAGGAAATATAAACCAGCCGTAAGTCGTTCTTTTTGGTTTCCTCAGCGAGTAATAATTAAAAGGGTGGGGATTAAGGTAGTTTCAAAAGCAATATAGAATATTAGAAGGTTAGAGGCTCCGAAAGTAACACATAGAAGGATTTGAAGAAGGATGAGTAATGCGATTATTGTTTTTTGTCGTGTAATTGGTTCAGTTTTTATATGCGCTTGGCTAGCTATAATTATTAGGGGTAGTAGTCAGCAAGAGAGTATAATAAGTGGGCATGAAAATTGGTCAATGCTTAGGAGAGAATTAGTTGAGTTATGTTCAGCTACATCTATATTTAGAGTAAGTGTTGTTAGAATTGCGATTAAAAAACTGAAGAAAGTTGTAGCAGTTCATAATACATTTTTTTTGTTAATTAAAAAGGTTATTGGGATTAGCATAATTGAGGGGATGATAATTTTTAGCATTTTAATAGATTTAGGGCTTTTAATTGGTCTGTATTATGAGTAGGGGCTGTTGCGATTATTAGAGATAAACCTATGCCTGCTTCACAGGGTGAAAAGGTTAAAATAATAAGGGGTGCTGCTATTATTGGGAGTGATGTATTGTTTAGGGCTCATAATGCTGTGGATACATATAGTGCTAGGGCTATACTTTCTAAGGTAAGTAAAAGTGAAAGAAGATGTTTTCGTTGTAGGGATAGGCCTAATAGTGCTAGGAAGAAGGATATAAAAATTAATGTCAGGGGCACGTGAGAGTAGGTGTTCCTGAAAGTTCAGGATTAATTGAGCCGAAATCAATTGTCTTAATTAGACTAAACCCCAGTAAATTATTCTGCTCAGTCGAGTCCCCCTTGTAGTCATTCATAGATTAGGCCTAATGTAAGAAGAATAACAAATAAGGAGGCCCAAAGAAGGGTAAATTCTGGGTGAGAAATGTTGGTTGCTCATGGGGATGGGAGAAGAAGAGCAATTTCTAAATCAAATAGCAAAAATAGAATAGCCACTAGGAAGAATCGAAGAGAGAATGGTAGGCGAGCAGAACCTTGTGGATCAAAGCCACATTCGTAGGGGGAAAGTTTTTCACTATCTGGTTTTATGATTGGTAATCAGAATGCTAGTAAAGCTAGAATAGATGAAAGGGTTAAAGTTAGAATAATTGTGATTATGAAAGAGTTCATGTGCCTTTTCTTGGATTTATACCAAGTTTGGTTGGTTGGAGGCCAACTATATTAAGTGCATTAAAAAGGCAGATTGGGTTAAGAGCCTCATCAGTAGATTGAGATATATAAGAATAGTCAGACAACGTCTACAAAGTGTCAATATCAAGCAGCGGCTTCGAAGCCGAAGTGGTGCTTAGAGGTAAAGTGATATTGTATGTGTCGTATTAAGCATGTGAGTAAGAATAGGGAGCCAATAATTACATGTAGGCCATGGAAGCCTGTTGCGACAAAAAAAGTTGAACCATATACGCTATCTGCTATTGTAAATGGAGTTTCATAGTATTCTATAGCTTGGAGGGCCGTAAAGTAGAGTCCGAGCAGAACTGTTAGGGCTAAGGCTTGAGTCGCTTCTGTCCGGTTTTTTTCAGTAATGCTATGGTGGGCTCAAGTTACTGATACTCCGGAGGCGAGTAGGACTGCAGTATTTAATAGTGGTACTTCGAATGGGTTCAGTGGAGTAATTCCTGTAGGAGGTCACGTTAAACCAAGTTCTAGAGTTGGTGCTAGGCTGGCATGATAGAAAGCTCAGAAGAAACCAGCGAAAAAACAAACTTCTGAAATAATAAATAAGATTATTCCATAGCGAAGACCTTGTTGAACTGGAGAAGTGTGGTGGCCTAGGAAGGTTCCTTCTCGAACAACGTCTCGTCATCATTGATATATTGTAAGAAGTATTAGAATTAGACCGAGTGTTATTAAAATACAAGAATTTTTATGAAATCATATGGCTAGGCCGGAGGTTATTAATAATGCGGCGCCAGCACCGGTTAGGGGTCAGGGGCTTGGGTCTACCATGTGGTATGCGTGGGCTTGGTGGGACATAGACGTTTTCTTGAAGGTAGAGGGTTAAAAGCAGAATAAAGACATACGCTTGGATTATGGCAACAGCTAATTCTAGAATAGTTAAGAGGAAAAGAAGTAGGGAGGTAGCTAATGTAAGTGAAATAATAGGTATTACTGCAAATGTAGTAATAGAGATTAACTGGATGAGTAGATGTCCAGCTGTTAAATTAGCAGTTAGTCGGACTCCTAGTGCGATGGGTCGAATGAAAAGACTAATAGTTTCGATAATAACAAGTATTGGAATGAGTGCAATTGGGGTGCCTTCTGGTAATAAATGGGCTAGAGCTTCTGTTGGTTTTTTTTGTAGGCCAATAAGAACAGTAGCTAGTCATATAGGTACTGCTAATCCTATATTTATGGATAGTTGGGTAGTAGGTGTATAGGTGTATGGTAATAATCCTAGAAGATTAATTGTTAAAATAAATATTATAGAGGCTATGCAGATTAGGGCTCATTTATGGCCTTGCGCGTTGATTGGAGCAAATAATTGTTTAGTAATAGTTATCAATAGAGGTAGAAGTAGCGTGTGATAACGAGATTTAATGAAATTTGGTACTTGCGAGATTAGTAAAATACTAGGGATTAATATGGCTAATCAGGCTAATGGAAGCCCAAATATGGTTGGGGAACTAAATTGGTCAAAAATTGCTAATGTCATGGTCAGGTTCAGGTAGGTTGTTTAGGTTTAGTGGCTTGTTGAGCAGAGACTGTGTTTTGTGTTTGGTAAAATATAATAGTTGGCATAATTAATAATAGAATAATTAGTCATGACACTGTAAATATAGAGAATCATGGGGCAGGCTCAAGTTGTGGCATATCACTAAGGGAGAACATATTCACCCATCTTCAGCTTAAAAGGCTGATGCTAAGTTAGCTTCTTAGTGTTTAGTATATGTGTAAAGGTTCTAACCCCAGCAGTAGTTCAGCTTTCGAAATATGAAAGAGGAACAGCTTCTAGTGCAATTGGTATAAAACTATGGTTTGCACCGCAGATTTCTGAGCATTGACCAAAGTATAGGCCTGGTCGGATTGTAATAAATGTTGCTTGATTTAGTCGGCCTGGGACTGCATCTACTTTAGTTCCTAGTGATGGAATAGTTCAGGAGTGGATAACATCTTCTGATGTGATTAACATGCGAATTGGGGATTCTATTGGTACTACAATGCGATGGTCTACGTCTAGAAGGCGGATTCCCCCTGGTTCTAGTTCGTTGGTTGGTGTTATGTAAGAGTCAAATTCTATTTGATTATAATCAGTATATTCGTAGGATCAATATCATTGGTGCCCAACTGCTTTAATAGTTAAATGTGGGTCGCTGATTTCGTCGGTAAGATATAAAATGCGTAGAGAAGGAAGGGCAATTATAATGAGGACAATAGCTGGTAAAACTGTTCATACAATTTCTACTTCTTGAGAGTCTAGGGAGTGCTTATTTATGAATCGGGTAGAAACTATTAGAACAATGAGGTAGAAAATTAGTACACTAATCAAGAATACAACTGTTAGAGTGTGATCATGGAAATGAATAAGTTCTTCTATAATAGGGGAGGCTGCATCTTGAAGTCCTAGTTGAGCTTGCTGTGCCATAAGCAAGATACATGAGTATAAGGCTCATAATATTACCTTGACAAGGTAGTGTGATAATTTTACTAGTATCTTAAGAAAGTGGCAGATATGGTTATGCACCTGGCTTGAAACCAGCGTAGGGGGGTTCGAATCCCTCTTTTCTTGAAATTAGTTTGAACATAGGCTGGTTCTTCATAAGTGTGATAAGGTGGTGGGCAGCCGTGAAGTCACTCAATGTTTGTATTAAGAAGGTCTGTAGCAATGGCTTTACGTTTAGCAGAGAAAGCTTCTCATAAGATAAATATAAATAGTATAACAGCGATTAAAGAGATTGTTGATCCAATTGAGGAGACGACATTTCATGTAGTATAGGCATCTGGGTAGTCTGAATAGCGTCGTGGTATGCCAGCTAAACCTAGGAAATGTTGGGGGAAGAATGTAAGATTTACACCAGTGAATATAATTACAAAGTGTGCTTTTGATCAAGTTTCGTTAAGTGTATATCCTGTGAATAACGGGAATCAGTGAACAAAACCAGCTATAATTGCGAAAACAGCTCCTATAGATAGTACATAATGGAAGTGGGCTACTACATAGTAAGTGTCATGAAGGATAATATCTAGTGATGAGTTGGATAGAACAATTCCAGTAAGTCCTCCTACAGTAAATAAGAAAATAAAGCCTAAGGCTCATAGTATTGGGGTATGTCATACGATTTTTCCACCGTGGAGGGTAGCTAATCAGCTAAAAACTTTAACTCCTGTTGGAATAGCAATAATTATTGTGGCTGATGTAAAGTAGGCTCGTGTATCAACATCTATTCCTACTGTAAATATGTGATGGGCTCAAACAATAAATCCTAATAGTCCGATAGCCATTATTGCTCAGACTATCCCTATGTATCCAAATGGTTCTTTTTTACCAGCATAATAAGCAACTACATGAGAAATAATTCCAAAGCCTGGTAGAATTAGAATATAGACTTCAGGGTGCCCAAAGAATCAAAATAGGTGTTGGTACAGAATTGGGTCTCCACCACCTGCAGGATCGAAGAAGGATGTATTTAAATTACGATCTGTTAAAAGTATAGTGATAGCGGCTGCGAGTACAGGAAGTGATAGGAGAAGAAGGACTGCAGTAATTAAAACGGATCAAACAAATAAAGGAGTTTGATATTGTGTTATAGTTGGGGGCTTCATATTAAAAATTGTTGTAATAAAATTGACTGCTCCTAGAATTGATGAGACTCCGGCTAGATGAAGAGAGAAAATTGTTAAATCAACAGAGGCTCCTGTGTGGGCTAAGTTTCCTGCTAGAGGTGGGTATACGGATCATCCTGTTCCAGCCCCAGCTTCAACTCCTGCAGAAGCTAAGAGTAAAAGCAATGAGGGTGGGAGTAGTCAAAAACTTATATTGTTTATACGAGGGAAGGCTATATCAGGGGCGCTAAGTATTAATGGCACTAGTCAGTTTCCGAAGCCTCCAATTATAATTGGCATGACTATAAAGAAAATTATGACAAACGCGTGGGCGGTTACGATGACGTTAAAAATTTGGTCATCTCCTAGTAAAGTGCCTGGTTGACTTAGTTCTGCTCGAATTAGGATGCTTAAAGCGGTTCCCACTATTCCTGCTCAGGCCCCGAAGATTAGATATAGGGTGCCGATGTCTTTATGATTAGTAGAGAATAATCAACGAATAAGAGTCACTGGTAGGATGGCCGAATGTTTAGGCGGTGGGCTGTAGACCCGCTTACAGAGATTTGATTTCTCTTCCTGTCAAAATTGGCCCTGTGGTGAAGTTCATATTAGATTGCAAATCTGAAGATACAGAGATAATTCTGTTGGGGTCTGTAGATCAAAGCTAAAATTAGCACTTAGCTGTTAACTAAGAGGTTGTAAGTATAACGCTTGCTGGTCTAGATTAAAAATTTTAGCTTAATTTAAAGTATCTGATTTGCGTTCAGAAGATGTGAGTATATCTTGCAAATTTTAGTCAGAAATTAAGGGTAATGCCCCTTACTGTAAGCTTTGAAGGCTTAGAGTCTATATAACTTAAATTTCTAGTGTAGGGTAAAGATTGCTATGAGTTGAGGTGTTAAAATAAACAGATTAATTGATAACATAGTCATGAGGGTTATAGGTTTATTTGGGGCTACACGTCAAAGAATAAGATTTGTTGTTGGACATGGAGGTGATAGAATAATTGATAGATAACATATTCGAGTATAAAAGAATAAACTTAGTAATGAGCCTATTATTATTAGAAATAGATAAATAACAAGGTTTTGGTTGGCGAGTTCAATTGATGCTAGAAGTTTATTAGTAAATCCTGTAAGTGGGGGTAAGCCTCCTAGGGATAGTAGGAGAAGTAATAGGAATATTTGAGAAATTTGATTATGTTTATTTATGGTGAGTGCTGTAATTTTATTAGCTTTTAAATTATTAAGATTAATAAATGTTGTGCTTGTAAGTAGGCAGTAGATTAGTGTTGTAACTCAAGTAATTGTAGGATTAAATGGGGCTATGCTAGCAATTCAGCCTATGTGTGCAATTGATGAGTAGGCTATAATTTTTCGTGTTTGAGTTTGATTTAGGCCTCCTCATCCTCCAATAAATACTGATAATAAGGCTGGGCCAAGAATAAATACATTATTTTGATCTTGTGCAATTTGAATAAGGAGAGCAATTGGGGCTAATTTTTGTCAAGTTGCTAGGATTATGCCAGTTGTAAGATCTAGGCCTGCTATTACTTCTGGAAGTCAGAAGTGTATAGGGGCTATACCTAGTTTAAGTATTAGGGCAAGAGTTATAGCGTTAAGAATAATTGGGTCGCTTGACGGGCTGATTGCTCAGTTTCCTGAGTGTCAAGCGGTTAAACAGGCAGTAATAAGAAGTGTGGCAGAGCCTGCACTTTGAGCAATGAAGTATTTAGTAGTTGCTTCAATTGAACGTGGGTGGTGTGTTTTTGCTATTAGAGGAATAATAGCAATTGTATTAATTTCTAAGCCGATTCAAGCTAGAATTCAGCTGGTGCTTGAAAATGTTACAAGTGTGCCGAGACCTAAGGTTATTAGTAGTGTAGACTGAATTAATGGGGATAGCATATAGTAAGAGATGTTGGTAACATCATATTTGGGGTATGGGCCCAAAAGCTTTATTTAGCTTATCTTACTTAGGATGTGGTGTAATGGGAACACGGAGGGTTTTGGTCTCTCAGATTAAGGTTCAAATCCTTTCATGCTAATTAGGAAGAAAGGGGGTAATATCCCCTATAGTCACTCTATCAAAGTGATTCCTATTTTCGGACATACTTCCGCTGTTAAAATTCAGCTTATATCGATGTTTATATGGGAGGAATACCAGCTCCTCCAAATGATACGGCGAGAGATAATTGAAGGGTGAAGAGGGCCAGATTAAGGGGTAAGAAATTTTTTCATATGAGGTGCATTAATTGATCATATCGGAATCGTGGGTATGAGGCTCGGATTCATAGGAATAAGATAATGAGGGGGGTAGCTTTTATTATCACATTAATAATTGGTAAGATATTTAAATTATTTGGGCCAAGAGGACCAAAGAATATAATTGCTGTAAGGGTGTTTATAAATAAGATATTGGAGTATTCAGCTAGAAAGAATAAAGCGAATGGGCCCCCAGCATATTCTACATTAAAACCGGAGACAAGTTCTGACTCTCCTTCAGTTAAATCAAATGGAGTTCGGTTTGTTTCTGCCAAGGTAGAGACAAATCATATTGCTGCTAATGGTCAGCTTGAAAGTAAGAATCAGGTGTGCTCTTGTGTATAAATAAAAGCTTGGAGAGAAAAGCTGCCGATTAAAATAATTAAACATAGTAGGATTAGTCCTAGGCTTACTTCATAGGAAATAGTTTGGGCAACAGCTCGAAGTGCTCCGATTAGTGCATATTTTGAGTTAGAGGCTCAGCCTGACCCGAGGGTAGCGTAAACTGATAAACTTGAAATTGCTATAATTACAAGAAGGGTAAGATTAATAGTGGAAATTGATTGTGGTATAGGAATAAATATTCAAAGGGATAAAGCTAAGGTTAGTGCTATAATGGGGGCTGCGATGAATAAAGCTGGAGAGGCTGCAATAGGTCATACGGGCTCTTTAAGAAATAATTTTACTCCGTCTGCGATAGGTTGTAAAAGTCCTATAAATCCAACAACATTTGGTCCTTTACGAAGTTGTATATAGCCTAGAGTTTTTCGTTCAACTATCGTTAAAAATGCTACTGCAAGTAGAACTATTAAAACTAAAATTAAAGTGGATAATAATATAACTAGCATAATTTATTTGGAAGGGGATTTGCACCCTGGTATAAGGGCTTAAACCTTGTGCAATTACTGAACTCTGCCATCCAAATAACTTGTCTAGTTATTATTTAAGGTTGCTTACTATTCTTATTAAGTTGATTTCATAAGATTGATGTAGGGTTTGCATAAGTGTATAGACCTCTTGCGCCGGTCCTTTCGTACTAGGGAAACAGCAAACATAGATAGAAACTGACCTGGATTACTCCGGTCTGAACTCAGATCACGTGGGGCTTTAATCGTTGAACAAACGAACCTTTAATAGCTTTTGCGCCATTGGGTGCCCCGATCCAACATCGAGGTCGTAAACCCTTTCGTTGATTCGGGCTCGTGGAAAGGATTGCGCTGTTATCCTGGGGTAACTTGTTTCGTTAAGCAGCAAGTGATGCTGGGTCTATTAACGTTAGTTTTACTAGTGCTTAGAGTTGTCACTCTAGGCTAAGAAAATTGTATTTTCGTCGTCGTGGATATTACTTTTGTTCCGTGGTTGCCCCAACCTAAAACTGTGCATCGTAAATAATGACTATGCGATGTAAATGTTTGGAAGCTCCACAGGGTCTTCTCGTCTTATGGGTTTATACCCGCCTTTGCACGGGTAGGTCAATTTCATTGATAGGGATAAGGAGACAGTTATGCCCTCGTGTAACCTTTCATTCCAGTCTTAATTTACAAGACAAGTGATTACGCTACTTTTACACGGTCAAAGTACCGCGGCCATTCAATATTAATCATTGGGCAGGTCTTGCCTCCAATAGTTGGTTTTTATCTGGAGGTGATGTTTTTGGTAAACAGGCGAGGCATGTGTTTGCCGAGTTCCTTCTCATCCTTTATATCTTCTATATCATGTTCCAGTGTAGGGTCAACGGTTATTAGTTCTTGTTTTTCTTGTCGGTAATTGTGTTACTGACTTCCTATTGTTTTAAGGGCCGTTAATTTCCAGTGGTTAGTCCGATCTGGTTTACACTGACATAAAGAGGGGTGCGGCCTCATATATGTACTAATCTTAGCAGGATATTTTCTATAATATAGGATTACTTAATAATGGTTATAGGGTCTTTATACATTATGGTATTTAAAGTTTGTTAAACTTAAGCTGTAACGCTTTTCTTCTTGGTGGCTGCTTTTAGGCCTACTTAAGTTTATGAGTGTATATTATCTAATTAATAGAGCTGTATCTCTGTTCGCTAGGGCTGTACCCCTAGCAATAAAACTTAAAATGTAGAGGAGTAAGATGTTTAAATTTATAGTAATTTTTATTGCTTATCTACAAATTAAGGTCAAGCTTAAACTTGTTTCTTAAGTAACCAGCTATCACTAGGCTCGGTAGGCTTTTCACCTCTACCCAGGGCTTATTCCAATCTTTTGCCACAGATACGGATTAACCCTCATAGGTAATCCCAGGGTAGCTCGTCTAGTTTCGGGGGGGCGGCAGTATTTTCGGGTTTACTTGCTAAGCCATGATGCAAAAGGACAAGATTTGATCTTTGCTTTATTTTACTTAATTGATCTGTTTCATCACTTTTTCAATGTTCCCTTGCGGAACTATATATGTTTAATTTTTTTCTATCACCTATACTAAAATGGGGGTAATGGTTTGCTGTAAAATATATAAAATTGTTTTATAATCAGAGGTTAAAAGTTGTTAGATAAATATATTTAGGATCAGTAATCAGAAGATCTTGAGTCGCACAAGAATATTTTCGGTGTAAGGGAAATGCTTAACTTTTAAGCTATCTTCTGTTTTCCAAGCGCACCTTCCGGTACGCTTACCATGTTACGACTTTTCTCCGAGAGAAGGGGGAGAGTGACGGGCGGTGTGTACGCACCCTAGTGGCCAACTTCAACTAGACAAACTATTCTTGTTTACTGCTAAATCCACCTTCAAACTTATTTCATTACATTATTTGTATTCTCTGGAGAGAGAGTGTAGCCCATCTCTGCCTGCCTCATAGGCCGCACCTCGACCTGACATATTTGCATAAATAGCTTCTTTGCCTACGGTTATTCTTTTATAAGGTTGGCTGGCGACGGCGGTATATAGACTGGGGGCGAGAGGCGGTGGGGTTAAAACGTGGGGTATCGGGTTATAGGACAGGCTCCTCTAGGTGGGTTTAGGGTGCCGTCAAGTTCTTTGGGTTTTAAACGATTGTTCGTAGTGCCCTGGCGACGGTTGTTTATTTATGGCAGGCATAGCGGGGTATCTAATCCCGGTTTGTGAGTTTTGCTTTCGTGATGTCAAAGTGAGTTTATTAATATAGATTCTTTCGATGTTGAGATATTTAGGCATACCTATTCAACTAGCAGGCATAATGGCTTCTATAGTGTTAATTGAGCTAATATTTTAATCACGCTTTGTGCCGGAGATATCAGCTTGAGCTCCTCGTATAACCGCGGTGGCTGGCACGAGGTTTACCAGCTCTAAAATATGTAACTTAGTCGGGCTTTCGTCCATAGCTTAAGGTTTATCACTGCTGAGTACCCTTGAGGTGTGGGTGGCTAGGTGTTGTGGGCTAACTTATTGTGAGCCTGATACCGTCTCTTTTGTATATTTATAGTTTAAAGGAGGTCTCACGGGAATGCGGAAACTTGCATGTGTAATTTCATATATAGTTGATATTAAGGCTGGAACTAATCCTTTGTGTCAAGGGGTTCTAAAAACCATTTGAGCCTTCAGGGCTCCGCTTTAATACTAAGCTACTCTTAACGTTTAAAAATCAGAGGGTAATTTAATACTAAGATACTAGCTTTGGGAGCTAGATACAGGGGTTTGAATCCCCTTCCTTTGAAGATCTATACATTAAATTTCGGTTGAATTTGCCTACGTGTTTTGCTATTAGGATTAGTCGGTCTTCTAACCGACCTAGAATTGGGAAGATTAAAATAAAAATTATAAAGTATACTGTTGATGCAATCTGTGTTATTAGAATAAATGGGTATTCAGCTGGCTCTCCTCCCAGTCAAGTGAGTAGTGCTAGGTCAGCAATTAGAATTCAAAATGTCATTTGGGCAAACGGACGAAATTGAAGGCCCCGTTGTTTAGAAGTATGGGTAAAGGGGATAATCAGGAGAATTATAATGGCTGCTCGTAAAGCTACAACTCCTCCTAATTTATTAGGAATGGAGCGTAGAATTGCGTAGGCAAATAGGAAATATCACTCTGGCTTAATATGGGGTGGGGTGCTAAGAGGGTTGGCGTAGATAAAATTATCTGGTTCACCTAGTGCATTAGGGGCTAAAAGAGAAATTATAAAAAGAATTCCTAGTAGGATAACAAAACCTAAAATATCTTTAAAAGAAAAGTATGGGTGAAATTGAATCTTATCTAAATTAGAGTTGATTCCTAGGGGGTTACTAGACCCTGTTTGATGAAGGAACATAATATGGATTATAGTTATTGCGGCTAGAATAAATGGTAGAATAAAATGGAATGTGAAGAATCGGGTTAAAGTAGCGTTTGATACTGAGAAACCGCCTCATAATCACACTACAATATCATCCCCTACATAAGGTATTGCTGAAATTAAATTTGTAATAACGGTTGCTCCTCAGAAGGACATTTGTCCTCATGGGAGTACATAACCAACGAAGGCAGTAGCTGCAGTTAATGCGAATAAAATGACTCCGACGTTTCATGTTTCTTTATATAAATAGGAGCCGTAGTAGATTCCTCGCCCGATGTGAGCATAAATGCAAATGAAGAATATAGAGGCCCCGTTGGCGTGAAGATTTCGTATAAGTCATCCGTTATTAACATCACGACAAATATGTATAACTGAAGAGAAAGCTAGTTCAGTGTTAGCAGTATAATGTATAGCAAGAATTAATCCTGTAACAATTTGTAAGATTAAACATAAGCTTAAGAGTGAGCCAAAATTTCATCAGGCTGAGATATTAGCAGGAGAAGGAAGATCTACTAGTATATTATTGCCGAGTGATAGAAGGGGGTGAGTTTTTCGAATAATAGTTGGTGGGTGGGACAT